CACATGCGGACCGGTTCCCGCTCACTGGCTGAGCGAGGCGCGGGAGCAACGCCGAGGGTTGCAATCCCGTTGCCGGTCCCCGGTCCGGTATGGGGGCAACACTGAGGGTTGCGATCCGTTGCCGGACACGGAAAAAGTCAAAAAAGACAAAAACAAAAAACAAACAAAAAAAAAAACATAGTAACATCTTCTGATAGCACAACACCCTTTTGTTCAAATAGCTCTATAAGTCAGGAAGCAGGTCTCCTCTGAGCTCACAAAGCCTGTCTCCTTTAAGAAATGCCCAAACCAGGCCTGTCTTTTTGAACCGGCGCAGAGGGAGGGAAGGAGGAAAGGAGTGTGTGTGTGAGAGTGTGTGTGTGAGAGTGTGTGTGTCAGAGTGTGTGTGTCAGAGTGTGTGCGCATGTGTGTGTATTCCAGAAGTGGAGTTGTTTCAGGATTGGAAAGGAGTCTTGTTCATTTGTTTAAGCAAAAGTAATAGAAATCCATGTTTGTGCGTTGTGACTTTTTGTACTGTGTTATAAGAAAAAAGCAGAGATTCCTAGAACCTGCGATAAGAAGCAGACTGTGGGCTAGTGGCCTGGGTGAATTTGTGAAATTATTCTATCTCTAGAAGAAGATCTAAGGCCAACACACTCAGTCTTGGTGACAGAAAAGAGAGCTGGGACTGTGAATCATTAGTTTTTCTCTAACTTTTCCCACACTTACTTACCTAGGTGGCAACCTTGGGGGTCCTCGCATAAGACCTCCTGTTTGACCAGTGTGCTCAGGTTCCTACAAGTACCAGAGAATGCTTTTTAGTAAAGGTTAATCTGAAACAAAAGCTTGTCAAGAGGAATTTTGGACACCTTTTTGCCCAGATCTATAAAAGGAAATGGAGCTGAATTATCGAAAGTAGCTTTCGATAGAATTTTCAGTCTTAAATAATGTTAACTCGCTCCTACCTAAATTATCCTTGCCCTAATACAAGTGAAAACACTGAAAGGAAGAAACCAGAGGGTGCCCTGCTATGGACTACAGCCTGATTAACTGCACTGCATGGTCATGCACCCAGTGGATTCATGAGATGTTAAAGGACAATGTTTAAATCGTGATAGGTTACACAGTAACAATTTAAACAGGCACTGTAGGGAATTAAAACAACACGTGGTCTTTATCCATACCATAATCACATAGGAAATGCATGGCTTCTGAGTTTAAATGCATAGTAAGTGAGGTGGTTATTAGTTTGTTTTACTCTGAACAGGCTGAGATCTTATCTCATCACTGGATAATTTCGACATTTTGCTGTAGGTTTTGCACTAGAAGGAGGTGGCAACATAACAGAAGCTTAAGGTATGGCCTAAAAAGAAGGCATGTGAGGGGGAATAGAAAAGGCCTAAGAAGGAAGAAGAATGCTTGTACCAGCGTAGCAAAGAGGTTGGATGGGCTGAAAAGAAGAGTTTTGTAGGAAAGAAAGAAAGAGTAGGGCCGGCCCGGTGGCGCACTGGAGAGTGCGCTGCTTGGGAGTGCAGCGGCGCTCCCGCCGAGGGTTCGGATCCCATGTGGAGACCGGTTCCCGCTCACTGGCTCGGGCGCAACACCAGGGGTTGCGATTCCGTTGCCGGTCGCGGTACGGGGTGCGACACCAAGGGTTGCGATCCCGTTATCGGTCAGTAAAAAAGACTAAAAAAAAAAAAAGGAAAAAAAAAAGAAAGAGTAAAGGGGAATAGTGTGAAAAATAAATGATGGTACAGTTGGAATGTTTTAGGCTAACAGTAAATGAGAGAAATTGAAGTGTGGAGATAAATAGAAAGATTTCTCAAGAGAAAGGGATTCAAAGTGTGCTATTAAAATAGGTTTCCTGAACATGTTAAAGCTCAAGGATTGGGAAATGAATATAATACATAAAAAATAGTTTCAGATCTTTTATTGAGTGGGAAGTTAAAGAATCTCATAGCCCTTATTTTTTTGTGGAAAAGTCCTCGCCAAATTCTGCTAGTTATGATTATTTCCTTTTTTTTCACCTTTTCTGCTTTCAAAGGCTCTAACACTGACACCATGGAAATAACATTTTTTCAAGACCTCATAAGGGAAAAAAGTGCTAGCTAGCCCTTTAAAATTACACTGCCTTTCTTTTTTTTTTTGTAAAGGGGACTTAATTATAGTTTGGGAATCTTTGGGCTAATTTAGAGTGTTTTTCTCCTTAAAAACAAGTTAAAACTCACTTTCATGATTTTTAATTCATACTGAATATTCACAACTTTGTAAAGGGGACTTAATTATAGTTTGGGAATCTTTGGGCTAATTTAGAGTGTTTTTCTCCTTCTTAAAAACAAGTTAAAACTCACTTTCATGATTTTTAATTCATACTGAATATTCACAACTTTTGCTTAAATACCAAATGATTAATTGCCAATAACTGCAATCATTTAGACATGTTTCAATGTTTTAAAATCCCATTTTTAAAAATAAATTAAGCTTGCCCTTAAAACTTAGTTTCACTAATGACTTCAGTTAATGTAGTGAGGCAAATCACCAGCTCATAAACCCTGCAATATTCCAGAGTATAATCCATGCCTTATAAATACATTCCTGCCTATATTTCTTCCTGACAAATATTGCTATGATACTTGAAAAATGCATTTACTTCTCTGACCACCTTTAAAATTAAAACTAACACACTCTAGTGAACAGGGAAAAATTTTCATTTCTTTTTTCAAAATTATAGTTGTTAGATACCTTACAAGTTCAGGAAATTTAAAAAATAATATAGATGTCTAAATTTGACAAGGAAAGGTACAGATGATGTTATAGTAAATACGGAGCATGTGATCTGAATTTTGTACTTATTAGCTGCAGTTTTCCCTGGGTGGTGGTATTTTTATAGGAAATCTTAATTATCTTTTTTTGGTGGCTGGCTGGTGCGGGGACCTGAACCCTTGACTTTGGTGTTGGCAGCACCATACTCTACCAACTGAGCCAACCAGCCAGCCCTTAAATATCTTTTTAATTTCTCAATTTTCTACAGTGAGCAAATTTTAACTCATAGGGAAAAAAAGGGCAGTATATTCAAATTCCTAAGGGATGTCAGGCATATCCTGAAAGGCACTGCTCTGTATATCTGACTCAAAATACTGAGAACAGGGGATAGTTCCTGCAGGAGCTGCTTTCTTAGTGTTTGCTTAATTAAGTCTGGGTTGGTGTCCAGGTTATGCTAACATTCTTATTGATCCTCTTCAATATTCCACACATAACTTGAAGCCTCTCTGCATCTGCTTTTTGGTGGTTTTTCTCTAGCTTTGACACTCCTGAACTTTGGCTTTTGATGTATTTGGATATAAGCATTTCAGTTCCTGGTGAAATTGGTTTTCTTTTTTTCTACAGTCTCTGCAGATGCCATCTTTCTGTTCATCTAGATTGGAATTATATTCTCCAGATTTTTGACAGATATTTCTCCCAAAACACTATTGTCTGGCAGAAATACTAAGCAGCTCCACAAATGTTTCTTCTCTTCTTTCTCCAGGAACTGGTCCCACTTCTTATGTCCTGAATTCAGAAGGGCCTCTGTCTCCTTCTTGCATATACAGAAAGTATATATTCTCATTAGCTTTTGTGCTCTGTTTTTGATTCCATATATCTACTATGAAGCATCTCCCGACTCTCCTCCTGTACTGGTCGGCAGCATCCTCGGGGCAACAGAGCACACAGAGGTATTCGGTCCTGCTCACGGAATGGCTCTAGTGGCTCCAGATGTTCCTCACCCTGGGGTCCCTCATCACTTAAGTGAAGAAAGTGGGGTTTGGCCACTGTGGCCATCTTATCCTGAGATGTAAAGTTTACCGGCACTCGTGGCAGAATAGTAGAGGGTTTATGTCCTGTGCCTTGGTCAGGAGACACGGTTGGCAAAGACCACACCAGTCCCCATGGGTCCCTACACTGGTGAAACGTTCTTTTAGAGGCCCTTGTCCACATCTGTAGTCTTTATCACCTCTGGTCTAAAACTCATTCACTAACTGTAATTCTCAAACAAAAGGAATTTCTTAGGCATAAATTTGACTTTCGGGCCTTAGAAATCTATAGTGACTTCAGGCAAATCATTTAGCTTGTGGTCTGTCTCCTTATCTCTTCTTCTCTCAGCCTGGGTGTGTCTATTACGGTGTGCACTTATTATAGTACTGTATAGAACGCTCCAACTCCCTCGGTAAACACTGAAGGAAAGGATTTTTCCTTTTGTTGTTCATGTAAGGAACAAACATAATTACAAATATAGTTTCTCTCTAGATAGTTTATTCTAACTTCCTTTTCTTGTTTTTCTAAAATGTGAGAACTGGCTTGTGAACTGCTTAACACCAAACATTATAATAACTAGTATTTCAATAGAACTTTATAATTCACAAAGCCCATTACATCACTTAATGTATGATACGTCCTTACTTATCACCCTCTCTCTCCCTTTTATAACCCATTCAGAGTAGAAGCCAAGTAACCTTCTCAAGCAACTTTTCCTCTCTGGAAATTTTGAGATTTTCCTACTTAACAATATATGGCAGAGGCCCAAATAGCCTCTTTTGGGTTGCCTTGGGCCAGTTTTAATAAAAATTATTATCAAATACTTTGAAAATACAACTGATCACTACATTTTAATTCATGCTTCAGGAAAATCTCATTAACTTGATATTGGCTAATTCAGTTTAATGTTTCCTTCAAAGAAATTTCTCTTTACCAGATGATTAGGTGGGTTTGCCTGTGTAATATGCATGGGTAATGCACAATGTAAAACTATTATAAAATTTGACAAGCAAATTCTTAAGGCAGTCCATATTTTTTGATGCTAAAAAAAAAGCAAAACGAAACACCAAGTTTGTTACACTGATGTCTGCATTAAAGGTTATCACACTACGTGAAGTTGCATAGACTTCCTGCAGTCAGCTACTATACCCTGGTGCTTACTGGTCCTTTGCAGACTTGCCTTAACGATGTGTACAAAAGACTGGGAGGAGGAAAACCGCCTGTGTCCTAGGGTACCTTAATGAAGAAGCACTCTTAGGCATAAGGCAAAGCAAGCATTTCTTCTATGATGTTAGAGCCAAAACTGTTATGAGCAATTTTCATAATTGTCTGGTTTGCCCTTTTTCCCAGATTTAAAAATCTGCTCTAGATATACTTAGTTTGTACCACTTTAGGTTGTAAAATGTATTAGCTTTCCTCCAGTTATTATTCTAAAAAGAAATGGTGAATCTTGTTAACAAACTGGATTTTTTCCCCTCAATTTCTTTAAATAAAATGCTTGCAGAATGTCTTTGAGTATAAGATCTGCCTTTTCAGAAAGGGTGAGTTAGTTTGTAATATTAAAAAATAAAGTCCTCATTCAATAAAAGTTGAGATCACCAAAAAAAATTTTTTGAACTAAAAATTTGGTTCAAAGACTATAATAATTATTTCTCTAAAAATCATCTACCACATGGATATTTTTAAAAATGTATAAGGGAATGGTATTGAGATTGAAATAAAAAATACATATGCATTTTTTGAACTAAAAATTTGGTTCAAAGACTATAATAATTATTTCTCTAAAAATCATCTACCACGTGGATATTTTTAAAAATGTATAAGGGAATGGTATTGAGATTGAAATAAAAAATACATATGCAGGGCCAGCCCGGTGGCGCACTCGGTAGAGTGCGGTGCTTGGGAGCACGGCGGCGCTCCCGCCGAGGGTTCGGATCCCATATAGAGACCGGTCCGCTCACTAGTTGAGCACGGTGCGGACGCGACACCGAGGGCTGCGATCCCGTTGCCGGTCACGGTACGGGCACGACACCGAGGGTTGCGATCCCATTACCGGTCACGAAAAAAGACAAAAAGGGGGAAAAAAAAATACATATGCAAAAAACTCTGACTACCATTTTAACAAGGCTATGGTAAAGCGGTATGTAGAAAGAATTTTTAAACACATTTTTTCTTAAATTTCAGATTTAAAAAATTCTTTTTTATTTTTGGCAGCTGGCTGGCATGGGGATGCAAACCAGATAAAAAAAATTCTTAAGGTAGCTATCTTAAATTATGCCACTAGTTGAGTATTTTAAATAAAAACTGACAATTTGACTAAACCTATTTCCACAAATATTAAAAGATTTTAGAGATTTTTAATAACCTCATCATTATTAGTGTCATTTAAAAGACAATGTCATTACATTGGTATAGAACAAATTATTTTATAATGAAGTATAATGAATTGGCCTAATCCTTCTACAGGGACTTTTAAAATATTGAACATCACATTAAATACATACATGGGACTTAGAAATTGGTTTCTAATAATGGTATATTTTATCTGACCAGTGGTAAAATAATTACACATCAGCTGAGTATTCATATAGTGCATAGCTCAGTCTTCAAGCTAATACCATTTACAATGACAACTTACCAAGTTTCTAATTCTGTCAACATTACTGAGTTTTCCAGATACTACACTGTAAGTGTTTCCAATAGGTTTTTCAGCAGGGAGAGGGGGTGGGCTTTGTGAATCCTCATGTAAACCTGGAAAAATAGCAGTCATTCATTAATAATTTGTAGTTTTGGGGATTCCAAAGGATGAAATGATTGGATCTTGGTTCCTTAGGAAAATGGCCATCATAAAAGATCCACACAGAGAATGGACAGTTAAGCACATGAGAAAAGAGCTCCCAGCAAATCTCAGAAAACTGTGTTGGTCGACATTAGTGAATTTTACTATGTGTTTGGTAGAGCGAAAATAATACTAAATAATTACAACAGCCAGCATTTGTTGAGAAACTTCTGTGTGCCATGCATTAAGTTAGGCAACTTATTCACATTTATTTCTCCCACCAGTATCTATGTGCTAGATTTGTCCAGTACACTAGCCACATGAGGTGATTTAAACGTAAACCTTAATAAATTAAAATAAAATTAAATTAAAATTTTAGTTCCTCAGTTACATTAGCCACATTTATAATACTCTATACCCACTGTGGTTAGTGGGTTCCATACTGGACAGAATGAACATGGGGCATTTCTATCTGTGCAGAAAGTTCTATCGGACAGCACTACACTAGATAATATGCTTCCTATTCCACAGATGAAGAAACAAGCTAAGAAGAAACTAAACGAGTTACCCATGGTCTAAATGCTAATAATTGTCATATCCAGGGTTTTGAATCCAAAAGCCTGTGCTCATTCTTAATAAGGCATGCTGCTTCTTAATGGGTGCCATATCCAACTCTCCCCGATCCAAAAATAAACATGTTTTCTAATTCATTAACTCCAGATGAACTTAATTACTCTCAATTAAACAAATAACACCTTTACATCCAAACCACATTCTTATCTCAATGACAATGTGCCCTCAACTTACTTTAAAGAGAAGAAAACAGAGATGACCAGATTTAATTAGTAACAGCTAATTAAAATCTGTGTGCAAAAACACTTGGAGAGAGAATGATTGTATGATTGTAACATACTGAAGAAGACTAAAGTCACCTTTTATACTGCTCGGTTTAGGCACCGAAAGGAGATAGGAATTCTCATTTTTTCAAACGAATACCTTCTACCTTCCATTTCACATGAAAAACCTGTAACAAGTGGATGATTTGTCAAGTTCCTGTTTTATCCACAGACAGGAAAACACTCTCAAAGGGAGGAAAATACCCAGGCCAGCTACTAGGAAGACAATGATTTAGAGACAGGCAAGCATTCTTAGTGAGAGGCAGGGCTGCTCTGGGAATTAAGGTGCACATAAAAAACAACCAATCCATTCACCATCTTGAAGATTTTCTCTGTGCTGCAGTTTCCTTATTCTCACAAGGAAATAATAAATCGTTTAGCATATAATGTTGTCATGACAAATGTTTAAGAGTACAAAGTAGTAATATGAAAGTAGAGAGGAGATAGTTTACTGGCAGGAAGGAACAGAGGTAGTATGCAGTGTGGGTGTGTATGGGATGTGGAGATAGTGGATTTCCAATTTTAAATAACATGATCAGGGAAGGTCCCCTTGAGGAAAAAGTGCCTTTTGAGCAAAGACCTGAAGGGGTAGTGAGGCAGGGAGCCGTGCAGCTATCTGGGAAAAGGACATCCTAGTTAGAATAAACAGGACCCAAGGGGGAAGGAACTGAGAGAAGATCAAGGATCTTTACACCACAAAGCTATTCCTTTCCTCCCTAGTCCTTCCAAGTTCTTCAGACACCAAAAGTCTGGTTCCACAGCCTATGTATGCATTGCTTAATAATTGCAATAATAACATTCTGGAGAACAGGTTTTTTATATAAATAGAAATTACTCTCTAGAAACCACTTTGGCACTTCAGCTCGCATACATCTAGCAGTATAGAATTCAACTTTCTAACAGTTCCTGGAGCTTTATCAGGATAATAGTTGAAGGTACCTCCTTAGTATCTCCTTTTCAGGATTTCAGAGCTATTAATCCAGTTTATAGGTGTGCAGAAAAAGTAAACATAGCAGGCCTGAAATTATCTATCCTTAGAAAGTCCTGATTGCAAGGTTGGTCCTTGCATCTGGGAATTTGGACTTTGGGATGGTTCCTAACATTCCCAGAACAGATAAAACAGAAGAATATGATTTATGCTGAATACCTGCTTTCCTTTTGGGAATCTGGAATTTTAGTTCATGCCGAAATTTCTAGGAGTGTCTATACAACCAGCCCACAATATAAACCCTGGGCACTGAGTCTCTAATGAGCTTCCCTGGTTGACAACATCTCACGCATGTTGTCATTGCTGGGGGACTTAAGTACATCCTGTGTGACTCCACCTGCAGCAGACTCTTGAAAGTTTGCACCTGTTTTCCTCCAGACTTCACTTCTTTTACCTTTTCCCTTTGCTGATTTTGCCTCATATACTTTTGCTGTAATATATCATAGCCATGAATACAACTTCACAGAGTCTTGTGAGCCCTACTCCTGAATCATCAAACCTGGGGGTGGTCTTGGGGACACCAACAGAACAGAAGAATAAATTTAAGTGTAAAAGTTGTATTATATAAAATGCCCATGAACTTCTGGAAATATTTATCATTATATCTCACTGTGCCTGGTAAAATCCAGAATCCATTTAACAAGGTAACAGCAAACAGGCAAGCAACCCAATGAGCTATCATTTTACAGATCTGTGGGCTATATAATACTGCCAAAAGAAATATACCATCTGTTCTTTAACACTACAATATAACGTCCAGAATTGGTACCTTTGACTTTTCCTCCTCATTCTTCACAGCACCTCAGTTCAATCTTCTTGCTACTTGTCTAAGAGCCATCAATTAATAACAAAATCATCAAGAAGAGACTAACACTAATATGATCCTTCTGGGTAATGCTTTATAGAATGGAGCGGGCATAATCTCTTGTTAGACAAAGGCAAGGACGCACCAGGACTATGCAAAAGTATTGCAGGTATAAGTGGAATCAAAGGCCCAAGGGGAAAGCTGTGAGATCACTCTGAGCAACGTTAGGAACTGATCTGGAACATGAACACACACACACACACCGAACACACACATGAACACACACACACACACACACACACCCCTCTCTACCTGCTTTCTAATAATCTCTGGGGCCTAGAATTTGAACACACACACACACACACACCCCTCTCTACCTGCTTTCTAATAATCTCTGGGGCCTAGAATTAACAGTTCTGGCCCTTTTGGCTTCTCCCTTACAATAAATATCAGATTACTTTTTGAGGTACTTATTAAACCTCATACAGAATGTCATTTATTATATTATTGAAAAAATCAAGTAAGGAAGTAGAGGTACTTCAGAGAGTTAGTGGAAAAATAGAATTGAAAGATGATACAAATCTTTCCATGAACTTTTTGAAGTACCCTCTTATATCAAAATGTAGTATTACACTAATTTAAAAATTATTTTTATACACTGTTATATGTTTTTAAAGTTTTTGGTTAGTGCTCTTCATACAATTCACACATAGCCATATTTAGATGATGATGATGAAATCATATACTCCTGATAATAAGACATACACAATTTGTTTGCTATTAGTTTTGACTACATTCCCATCAAATCTTTACTCAAGGTGCTAACATGGGAGACTGCAATTGTTTTGAATTTCACAGTCTCCCTCTATTCTCTCTGCCTAGAGAAAACATTAAAGAAAAATGAAATCCAAATTTACTGTACTAATTCTCCAAAGAATTGTGAAAAACTTTCTTTTAGATGTCCTTGACTATGAGTAATAATACATGGCAGATTACACATAATTTTAAAAAAAGACATTGGTAACTTAGCATATATTTGTTGCAGGCTGTTGAAGAAGCAAATAAAGAAGGCAGAGAAGTGCTTACATTTTCCTGGTTTGGCTGGGATTCGAATTACAGTGGGCTTTCTGGTAGGTGCTGGCTGAACTGCTCCTTCTTTTGTTGGTTCTGTTTTTGTGGGGAGCTGAAAGGGATCTAATGAAAAACACAGTTTATTTTGCATGTTTTAGTTAACACAGACTCAAACAAAAAACCTCATTCATAATTTAAGAGTAATATTTTTCATGCCCCAGGGAAAACTATTCATGGATAAACAAAATCTCAGTTTGCAGAGACAAAAACAAAGTTGGAGCTCATAAAAGGAAATAACTTAGTGCTGTGTAAATAATTCATATGGCTTTTCTTCCTCTCTCATGAGAGAGGCCCAGGACGATCTTGAATTATGTAGGAGCTATCTTTCAGGGGCGTATCATCATTTAATAACTGTCTGCCCGAAAACGAGGGGCAACTGAAATGAGGAGACAATCTTTTCCACATTGTGAAGCCTCCCAGATCTCCCAGGAAGGCAGGACTCTTCTCCCTTACACCCCTGTGCCTGTACTGGAATATTTACCCAAGGAACCTGGCTAGGGCCATCATGCTACCCAGCACTGTGCCTGGCATGGGGAGAGTGCTCACCAGCCTCAGATTTAGTAGTTTAGTAAAACTACACATCAGTTACATGAAAATGAAAAAAAATTTTTTTTTCCTTTTTGTCTTTTTTCGTGTCTGGCAACGGATCACAACCCTCAGTGTCGTGCCCGTACCGGACTGGGACCGGCAATGGGATCGCAACCCTTGGTGCTGCGCCCGCACCTTGCTCAGCCAGTGAGCGGGAACCGGTCTGTATGTGGGATCCGAACCCTCGGCGGGAGCGCCGCCACGCTCTCAAGCAGCACACTGTAGCAGTGCGCCACCGGGCCAGCCCCAGAAAATGAAAAATGTTTTATCCCAGAAATAAAATAGGATATCTCCCTTCAACTATTTAACTTGGGGGCAGAATATATGACTCGGCATTTCTCCATCTTACCTGATTTATTTTAAACAGACAGCATATGCTTAGAGATAGTATTTTAAACAAAGGCACAACTATAAAACTTTTTTACTGAAAGAAGTAAGTCTTTAACATAAATGTTCTTTTCAATAGTTTGGAAAAATGACTAAAAATTTCTAAGATACAAAACTTAAAAATAAGTAGATTATAGCAAAAATAAAATAAAATGCTCTATAATGGATACGCTATACGGCACACAAGATCTCATGAGGCTGCCTTTGCCTTTACTCAACAAGAGGCAGAACGAATATACGCTGTAATTCTGCACCTGTTCTATGGATCTTGCCTGTAGGGAGATACTCCCTATAAAATAACACACTCCGTAACTCCTGTGATGAACAGCATTCACATCTGCCTGTTACAAGCTGCAGCTCAATAAGCACCTTTTGCTGTTCAGCTCTTTGCAGGATACGTGAAGAGCTGAGCAGGGAATAAGAAGTCCATTCTACAACCTGAGACTTCCCCTTGCGTAACACCCAGCTCTCACTGCCCTGTATCCGGACAAAGGCATCACTCACTAGTCACTTGCTCACATCTTTATGTTCAGCACGTGCCAGTAACAGTGCTGGGTGGAGAGATATGACAGTAAAGTACGAACCTGTTTTAAGTTTCTTATCTACCACCTACAAAAGATCCCCAGATGGCATGCTAGCTAAAATATTTATTACTAGGCTACTGAGAAGAAAATTTAGATGACCCCTCTACGGAAACCTATCAGCTCACAAGTGAGGTGAGCCCTAAGCTCAGAAAACCAATTCAAGATTATCAAAAGAATATCATCGAACTTAAAAGCGTACTGTAATAATTACACAACTTTCTTCTACTGTAACCTATATACCCCCCAAACAAACAAAGCTCTTGTTTTTAGGTTTAACCAAATTCCTTAATTCCTTATTTTGTTATAGCATTATTTTTCACTTCATAATAATACCTGTTGTAAAAATGGGAAATGTTGAGAAATATATAAAATAGAAAAAGAAAATCTCTTGTAATCTCATTGCTTTAGCAATAATTATTGTCTAATATGTGGTATATCTATTTTTTCCTGTCAATATGAGATGTATTATTATATAGATATTTTTAAAATAAAATACACGATTTTATGTCAATTTCTTTGTAGTTGTCTTTTTCACTTTTATTCATTCAATATTGACTGGGTGCTGTCACATAAAACACTAACACAGCAAAGAACTCTGCCTTCACCGAGCTTACATTCCAGCGGGAAGATGGAGACAATAAGCAACAATAGATAAGTAAATTGTGTGCTGTAGTAGAAGGTAAGAAGTGTGATTGACAGAGGAATAGCAGAGCCAGGTGAGGAGCTTGAGGCAGCGGCAGCAGGGAAGCAGGCTGCAGCAGGAGACGCCGTGCAGGGGCGAGGGCGCCGCAGGCTCTGTTACTGACATTTCGTGCCATCTTTCTAACAACTGGATTTTACATATTCTAATAGTTCTCCCAATTTGAATAATATACATCTGGTCTTTAGGAAACAGCAGTGCCAATGGATAAAAAGGAGTAGGTGCATTTGTATTAAAGCCCATTATTGCAAATATAACTGAATTTGAATTCTCCACATGGGTCATTTATTATGAATGAATTAAATGAGATAATTGAAAGAATGTGACATTTTATTCAAACAAAGAAACATGACGTCTTTCCTTTCTGCTCCTCTTTTTCCCTGCCATTGGCCTGTAGGAACCCACCGACCCGTGGAGCCAGCAGGCCTTCCTCCCAGTGCTACTGCAGAGACTTGACCAGATCCCTACCTGCTCTTCCAAAAGAAAAAAACCTTGGTTATCACACCCCATTGTCTTAGGTTCTCTCAGGGCTCCGTTTTCTGCTGAGAAATAGACCAAAAATTCAAGAAAAGGATTAAGGCTGATCATTGTTCACTGTGTTCTGCCTTTCAAGTGGCATTTCTGCTTTAACAGCTGCTCTTGGTACCTATAATCTGTTGGTTGTTACCATAGGTTTTGAGTTAATGATTTGGGGGGGGCGGTGTGGAGGGAGGAGAAAATCTTGAGCTTGGAATAACTTAAATTGTTTCTCAACTCAAATTAATTTCTGGGCCAGTATACCACCCACACACTCTCTCTCACATTCCAGCAGGGAGGGCAAGGATAAGGGGGGTAGGAAAGCAGAAAAGAGGCCAATCAGCACCCCTGAGTGGCTGGGCACAGAAGGCATCCAGACACGCTTGTTATAGGGGGACTGGCCTCAGGAAACCCTGTCCCAAATCCATGCATGCAGTGTGAGATCTCACCTCTCTTTTTAAGGGGTCCAGGCTTTTTTGTTTGTGTGCTTCCTGCCTGAAGGGTGCATGCCTGTCAGATGGTCCCTAGGCCTCCTTGTAAGGGGGACATGGTCTGCTGATTAGCATGGTTCTCAGTCTTTTTTTTTTTTTTTTTTTTTTTTTAAACCTAAAGGATTTAAATCAAAGTAGCATAGGTACAATTTATATACAAAGTATTTAAAGTGTCCTAGCTACCCATTCTTACTCTTTTTTGGGTTTTCTTTTGTTTTGATGGCTGGTTGGTACAGGGATCCAAATGGTCTTTTATTTTTAATACCATCAGCTGCTCTTTAATAACTGGCACTCACATCATGTGTAATTATTCTACTATACATGTCTCTGGGAAAAAATTCTCTCTCCATACAGAGAGGCAAGGAAGTTTGATTGTTCCACCACCGTGGGCTGCTTGGCAGGAGTGATCTGTTTAACGATCCACCCCAGCTGTGCTCACTGAGTCAGTGAGCTCAGCATCTGCCTCCCTGTCTGCGTGTTGTTGCAGGCTGTGGCCCACGCGGGGAGCGCAGATTAGTGGGGAGGACAAACAGCATTGCTTCAACGAGAAGGCGGAGCCTGAGGCCTGTTTTTCATCCTGATGACAGCGTGCAAGTCTCTCTAGCCACATCTTATGAAGTTCACTTTTTCTATCTTTTCATGCATTTTTTCCAACAGAAATGGCAAGTGGGCAACGTATAAAGCAAGGATGGTACTTTATGTTTGGAACCTACAGGCACTGCCAGGTAGGCAACTGGATCACTGGTACTAGTTAAAATGTTTGAAGTTCATCATCTTTGATTCTGTAGTCCCAAATTCGAAAATTTATTTTTCAGAAATAAAAATAGTAGGAATAAAAAAGCTTATGAGGGTTTTTACTGCAGCATTTTTTGCAGTGGCAAAAAAAAAAAAAAACAACCCCAAACAAAACCCCAAACCCAAAATTAAAAATAAAGGAAACAACCTGAATGTCTACCAATAGGGGACACATTGAATCAACTATGATATATTCATGCTAGAGAATATTAGGCAGGTATAAGGAAACAATGGGTTAGACTTACACTTATCAGCCTGAAGAGAAGTCAGTAAATTTCATTGTTGGATGAAAAAAGCACTTTGCTGAGTAATAGGTATAGACTGATAAAATTTTCTGTAAAAAGTAGGAAAAAGTCCATGTATGTGCATATGTTTGTAGGCTTTGACTTGGCATGCCCAAAGGCACTGAAGGCTACATGCTTTGTTCACACTGGTTACTGGAGGTATTTGGATGGATTGGAGAGAGATTAATTTTTTTTTTTTCTTTTTTCACTAAAATCTCTGCCTTGTTTGACTTGTTTTTTTTTTTTTTGTCTTTTTCCGTGTCCGGCAACGGATCGCAACCCTCAGTGTCGCCCCCGGACCGGACCGGGACCGGCAACGGGATCGCAACCCCCGGTGCTGCCCCCACGCCTCGCTCAGCCAGTGAGCGGGAACCGGTCTGTATGTGGGATCCGAACCCTCAGCGGGAGCGCCTCCGCGCTTCCCAAGCGGCGCACTAGCGCAGTGCGCCACCGGGCCGGCCCTGACTTGTTTGACTTGTAACAAACAAATATAATTTACCTGTGTATCCCCAAAAACTTCAATAAAATAAATTCAATCACAAGAAAAAATTTACAGGATTAAGGTGACACCTCTAACAAACAAAAAACCACTTAAAAACAAGAGGAAAAAACAGAAAATTCTTGTTCCTTGAGTTCTTTCTCAAGGGAATAACGGCCATAAAATTTTCCATAAAGTAACTAGAAAAATAAAATCCCTTTTTTTGGATTCAATAATGCAGATGTATGTTTTTGAATTTATCTAATTTAGGCATATTTAGTTCATAATAGTTAGCTTCTATTTGTAACCCTGAATAATATAACTGTTTAGAGAAATCACGATTTTACTATTTTAAAATTTCTACTCATCGCAAGGCTGAGGATCAGTGGGGGAAGCAGTTCTCTTTCTGTGGCAAGGACAACAGGTAGCTCCCAGTTTCTTTCAGCCTAATTATGCTTATATGCAACTATTTTAAAAAGATTAACTATTTTGTTAAAGTTATTTGCACATAGCCTGCAATTCAAAAGGGATCAAAAGGTATACTCTTGCCTACCCAATTAGTGAAAACAAAGTTCCCCCATCCTCTCTTGCCTACCCAATTCCCTCACATAAAAGACAACCTTTGTTGTAACTTGTTGCACGTCTTTCCAAACACATTACATATGACTTTTAACACAAACAGAAGCTAAAATACCCTGAATACTGTTCTGTACTTTGCATTTTTGACCTAATAATATCTTTGAGGTCCGTCCATAGTGGGAGATAATAGATCTGTCTCCTTTTTAATTACCACACAATACTCCATTGTATGGATGTACCATAATTTATTGAAGCAGTCCACTGAAGTTTATTTCCAATAGTCTCTAGTAGAAGTCCTTCATCTGGAGCCCAAGATGGGCCCCTGAAGCTCTGGAAATTATACCATGAATAGTGCACACATGAGCCAATGGGCTGTTTTCAAGTGAGATAAAAGAGTCATAGGCTACATCAGATTCTCAGAGTTCGTTAGCTAGAGAGGGTAAGAACCTCCCTGCCATAATTCTATCAGACTGTTTGCTCCTGCTTCTACAGAAAAAACAGAGATCTCAAGAATCTCCTATCAAAATCTAAGGAAAGTCAATGGCATTTTTCTCTACTTTTATTTGCAGTGTTTATTCTGTCCTCCTCCTAGCCCATCACACCAACGCAAATTATTCTACACCTGCTGCCAAACAAGCAGGCCCCTTTACACCTATATCAGCAGGATCTTCATTACTGAATTGAGAAAAACACTGATGATAAAGTAGTTTTCCGCCCATTACCTGTCTCTAATAATATGCTTATTATCATAATTAGTTTCACTATCCCTGGCATGCTTTTCTGTCATTTCTTTCCCTTGAGTTCTGTGAATAGCAGAAATTGGCTGCTAAAGTATTATTCTGGTCTGTGTAATGGGGCTGACAGCAGAAGCATTCTGCTTTTTTTTTTTTTTTTTGACAACTGGGTATGATTCATAAAGGTGTGAAGAGCAATTGCTAATACTTCTCAGCTCCATTACATTAACCTGGAAGGCATTCTACCCAAGAAATGAATCCAATATTGAATTGCCTGTTTTATGAGTTTTCCTTTAATAATTTTCTAATCTTTACAATGTTTTCATAGCTTCGTTATTTTTCTGATCTCTATTTCCTGAGATTAATACGGCAACTTCATTTTATGAACACTATTTTATTAGATTTTCTTTATTTTGAAGGAAGAGAAAGAAAAGGAAAGACTTATTTGTGAGGTTCTTTCCTTTCTCCTAGGTTCGTCTACCAGTTTCTGGCTGATGCCTGGATAATCAGGCAAGGTTTCATAAAGAGACCATAAACTTTTATTTACAGGGATAATGCTATTGGAATACCATCGAAAAGTCCCAAAGTCCCAAGTCGATAAACAAAAATCCCTCCACATGTTGAGGAATTCAGAGGTGACCCTGAAGGTCTTTGGAAGGCAATAAGTAGGGCCAGTGTACACTCTAGAAAAATCCCTTGGGTAGCCACAGTATGGAGAATGGTATGTTTGCATGGGCTCAATCCAGGAGGCCACTGCAGTAATATGAGCATAAAGGCCTCCAGTGTGCAGTATAAGGAGGGACAGAAACAAGAGGCAGATCAACACCCTCCCATGAAGAATATTATCATTGTGTCTTATAGATGAGGAAACCAAGGCACTGCAACGTTAAGTAAATTGCTGGAGGTCACACAGCAATTGTGTTAGACCCTGACAGACTCCAAATCCAAAGAGCAAGTCTCATGTGGCTTGGTGAGAAGACTCAGGATGATCTGTAGGTTTCTCTAGGGAAGGCTGCATACGTGATGGCAGCACCAAGTGATGTACAAAATATAGGAGGAGGAGCAGGTTTAGAAAGAAGATAAGGTATTCAGTTTGGTAGAGCTCCACGGTCAAGAGCAATGGTTGTCAGACAGGGCAAGAACTCCCCCAATAACTAAATGTTGTGCAATGAAGTGGTAGAAATCAAAAAATAGAAACGGCTGCGTATGAAGTATGAGATTATATTCATTTTGAAAGTATATCATTGACCTTTTTTTAAAAATATGACTGCAATTATCTGCTTGATGATACAGAATAAATTCTCAGCAATTATTAACCAAGTTGCCATGCCCATAGACTCTTTTGAAATATTACAAAAGGTAATATTTCTTTGGCTTGTACTGTTTCCACCTCTTAACAGCTTGGTGCTATTGGATTTATTCCTCCCTGTCCTTCTATGAAGTTTGTAACATCAAAAAGATTTAAATAAGAAATAATACTAACAAAGACTTGACAAGTTTTTAAAGTGCTGGCTGGCTTAAGGATTCATGAAAATGTAGGGTAGCAACATGATATAGTGAAAAATAAACTAGACTTAGAATCAAAAGACTAAGTTTAAACCCTGGCTTGGAAAATTGTTAGTTTTATGGCACAGGGCAAGTTATCCATCCATCTCTCTCAGCCTCATTTTCTTCATCTACAAAGTGAGGCAAATGATATCCTACGGTGGGTTGTTGTAAGTCTTAAATAAAATAATGTATGTCTGAGTAGCTAGCCAAGCATTAGCAACACTGCAGAAGCTCAACATATTCTGACGTCTTTCCTCCCGCCCTTTATGGACAAGAGTCATGCCTTTTTAGTTTATATGCTATACCCGGTACAATGTTGTGTGCATGATAAACACTTGATAAATATGTTTTTGCTATCATTAAAATGTACCCGCGCTGTGCAGTTTGGTTCTGAAATCACTTTGAGAGCTTGTACCATTTTGATACATGTTAAACATTTGTAAGATGACAATTAACCTTTTGAAAATTCTATTAATTTTATATGTTCACAAATAAGTAAACACCAGTAAAGGGAATCTCATCAACGACAAGTACAGCAGCTTAGTTTGACAAATCAAAGGTCCATCCAAACAGCAGGAAGAAAGAAAACATTCTCGGCCTCTTGGGAAATTTAATTGTCCTGATCTTGGCAACAAACTTAAAACTGTTGTATTTTATTTACAAAACTTCACATTCCCAAGGGAAGATGTTCCATGAAGATTATGGAAAAACATTTTTCAGCCTGTGGTGGGGTCGTCCCTCCTTTCATTGCTCTTGCCAGAGTCTCCCCCAGGCTGGCCCCTTGCCTGGCACACCCAGCTGGGGCCACAACATGACTTCTCACTATGAGAAGTTTCCTCTGCGTCCTCCCAATGCCACATTGCCCCAGCCTCCCTGGATCCTTTCAATGAGAAGCCTGAACTTTCACCTGCCAGAGTACGGGGAGCCAGCCCCACAATCTAGTAGTCCCTAGCCCCAATCTGCTTACTTCTGGCTCATATAAAAGCAACTGATGTATGTGTTCTCCACTTTCTGTCTGTCTCCAATTCCTCCACCCCATATCTTCCCTTCCCTCTCTGTCTCCATTCCCCACCTAGCTCTGTGTTTCTTAATCTCTCTCTGTTCATCTGTCTCTCTCCGTCTCTATATACACACATGTAGGTGCACACATGTGCATACACAAATCTCAATAACTTATGTGCCGCAAACTAAAACAGCAAGTGCCATTTGAGATATCCTGGGATGAATTTAGATTCCCCTCCACTTTTGATTTTTACTCACCTAGAACCGTCTCTGAACTGATAGATTCTTCAGCCAGGTTCCCAGATGGGGTGGGTAAAACATCATCATCAAAGCTGATGAGGTCAACGTCCCCCAAGGGCTTGCTTTGCAGAACTGGAACTGGAGGGTGGGCCAGAGGCCCTTCTTCCAGTGACCTGAATGCTTTGGCTTGTGGCACCACTGAGAGTCGGGGAGGAACAGTGACCGGTTTCAGTGGAACTGAAGGGTAGGTGGTGTTTTCTGAGGAAATTGATTTCTTCGGCAGCAAAGGCCGTGGAGCAGGAGTTGGGACTTTCTTCCCACCATCAGGGTTCTCAGCCACAGGCCCTCCTCCTGGAATCTCATGATTAAGACTCCGTATAAGGCCAGGATTTGGTTTCTTTGGCAATTCAGGTTTGGTTAATGGGATGCTTCCTGCTTCTTGTGGTGGAGAATGTGGGGTGAGCCCTTCCCTGGAGGTCACCTTCAGTCTGTTTTCAGTCCAAGAGTCCCATTCTCCAGAAGCTCTATGAGCAGCTGGCTTGGGAGCCACAGAGGGTTTTCCCGAGGAAACAGCAGGCTTTGGGGGAAGCGTGCGGGGAGTAATTTCTGGTTTCTTGGGTAGTGCTGAGGTTTCTATGTTTGTCTGACCCTCAAATGCTTTGATCCTTGACACAATACTATTTTGGCTTTGTTCTGTGTTCATAATGTTCATCACTGCCTGACTATCAAAGTCGTTGGTATTGTCCAACAGAGACTGGAGCAGGCCTGGGGATGACTCTTCTGTGGCTGCTGGGCTGATTTTCTGGTGACTTTGCTCTTTAATGTGAGTATCTCTGGCTATTGGTCTGAGGTTGCTTTTTGATCTTGGTCTTGGCACTGGACATTTTGTAGCACTCGGGTTTTCTGAACAAGTTTGTTCTTCGGAAATATCAAAGACTATTAAAGGCGCTACATTTGTTGGAAGATCACCAGATGAGAATTCTGCGGAAGGCTGAAGAGGCTTGAGAGGTGCCTGTAGTGCTGACAAGACCAGAATGAAAGAAAAGAAGTTACGATGTTATATATATATATATATTTTTTTTGTCTTTTGTCTTTTTTCCGTGTCCGGCAATGGATCGCAACGGGGAAGGCTGAAGAGGCTTGAGAGGTGCCTGTAGTGCTGACAAGACCAGAATGAAAGAAAAGAAGTTACGATGTTATATTTTAAAAGAAAAAACATAGGAGATACAAAGATCTTAAAGATATAACGTGGAATATCAAGAGATTTTGGTTTACTTAATTAGAAAAAAGAGATCCCAAAACCAATGGGGAAATTTTTATACTCAGATTCTTACAGGAGTGTTGTTCAAGTTACGTTTGTTCATATAACAAATATTCATTATATAATATTTTAAAACACTATTAAATTCCTGATTCTCATTAGATTTACCACGTGAACCATTTCTCTCTGCTTGTCAAAATTACAATATTTCTAATGCTTTACTTTTCCAAAGAAACTTGCTCTTATCTCTGTTACCCTAATACAATACTATCTAGAAGCTTAATAGGACAATCACTCCTAGCATCCTATCAGGTTTAATTTGCTAAATATAATGTCCTTCTCAATGAGAAAAAGGGGCCACCATGAGTTAAATGGGTGATGTTTTTGTGATATGAACTAGGGTTCATATCAAGAGAGCCCAAAAGACTGGGGCTATAGCTTGTAAGAATGATCTATTATAATAATCACTGCATATCCAAATAAAGAAAGCGCACAGTGATCACAATGACTGGGAAGCAGAGCTCAATGAATCATGCACAAATTGCAAATGATTTTAAAGGCTGCAAGCCTACTGATTACTTCCCTAAAACCAGGTCAGAATTAGGGAAGACAAATTACTTGCATTACTTTGAGGCAGATGGTTGTCTATTTCTTCTGAAAAGTCAGTCTGAGTTGCAGAAGTAATAGTGTGCCTTGGAGTGGCAGCAGCATTGTTATTATTTGTAGTGTTAACTTGAACTTGGTTGATTTCTTTTATGACTTGTTCATAAGATGGTGGAAGCTACAAAATAAAGAATGAAGATTTTAGACATCTACACAGTCTCACTGTTATCTTTGAATTTCATTTTTAAAATAAAATGCAAAGAGATAATGTGATGTTTATTCACCTCGGCAGGAACCAGCTCATTCGACCTCCAAGTGCGTGCTGCAGAAGATGGGGGATATCCCAATCCTGGGGGTGGGGCTCCTGGAAACCACGAGGCTGGACTCAGCGGCTCAGCTGCCACAATGGTAATCTCTGGGCGCCTGGTGGACAGAAGCCTCAGTGAGGTTTGCAAAGATTGGTAACAAGCTATTGTCTATTTGCAAATGTTCAAAGATTCATGAAAATCACCACCACCCAAAAATATTGTAAGAACTATTACAGTTACAGAAATGACCTGTTTGGCCTGGGCAGTTTCTAACAGTATACCCAGACAGGCTGCAAGGGAGCAAATGACAGTCATTCTCTGTGACTTTGACCTCAAAAGTTAGAGATGTACCCTGAGCGTGTTTAGCCATGCTTTGGTTGATAAGGATAAGGACTAAATAAGGCCCATATGATTCCCTCATTCCAGAGCTCTGCAGCTACCTAACTATAGCACAGACATGTAGTGCAAGGCAGAAAAACACACTGGCCAAATGGAATTGTTTGCTTCTCTTATTATAAAGTACATACTCTGAAATGAAATATAAAAAGAATATCCTCTTGGGCCGGCCCGGTGGCGCACTGCTACAGTGCGCCGCTTGGGAGCGTGGTGGCGCTCCCGCCGAGGGTTCGGATCCCACATACAGACCGGTTCCCGCTCACTGGCTGAGCGAGGTGTGGGAGCAACACCGAGGGTTGC